AAGTTTCTGCATCACGTGGTCTGTGGAATGTGACTTACTTTGTCTTCTTCGGACCCCTTCCCATTCTCCACGCATCATATTATTAATCATCCATCATCATCACACCCACACCATTATTTTCCACCATATGTACATCAAAAAAATCATTTTTTACTAATTCTTCTCCTATTTTATTTATTTTATTATTCCATTACATATGCCTTAGAGAATCTAACGGGTGTTTTCTTAATTTTCCACTCGAGTGAGGAAGTACAAAGCGGATCCTGTACTGTATTACAGGGACTTCATTTGTTGTTTTCTTCATTAAATGTTATAATTGTTGTTTAATGAAGTGTAAAAGTATGGAATAAATGAAATTAATATGAACAGTGACAAATGTGGGTGCTTTTTGACATGAAGGATGTATTAATAATCTGAAATGGTGTGAATAGAAAATGTGAAAGAGAGTAGTATTTTAAATTTGACTTGCTCTTACTGGTGGGCCATGGAAGGAATCTAAGGCATGGTGAATAATGTTGTGTGCATATGTACGGTACAGCTAGATTGGGAATGTGAGTACAGATTTGAATTTTTTAGAAAAAAAAGGTTTATCCATTTGTTGATGAATATTAAAAGAAAAAGTCAAGATGGGAATGAGAAAGGGGTTGTTGAAATGGTGATGATTGCACATGATGTGAATTTCATTTTTTTTTTAAGTTTTTGTTATTTATGCAAGGAGGACATTCCCTAATAATTGGAGCTTAGATCTAAATCATGGGAGAGTGTTTTGGATGACATTGATATGGGAAGGGGCAAAATTGTCATTAGAGAAAGGAAGGGAGTGTATTGTCTCTGGAATGAGAACCAAAGTGGATGGCCAAACTGGTTGCCTTCCATATGGTGAACATTTGGAACCAAAAGTCTTCTCCTTTAATTATTTTCATCCTTTTAGTTAGATCTGGCAGATGGGTGGGTCCCACCACTGCTCAATGCATGTGCACCATACCATTCTTTTCTGCAAACTTGCTTTACTCTCCTGCATCCATTGAGTCTGTGACTTCTTCTTTCAGCTCTCATCGCTATCACATATTTCTCGCATTCTTTTTTATCAACCTATCCCATTCATTGTCACAGGAGGTGTTAATGGGAAGAGCAAACTATTTTGCGTCCTTCAAACAGAACGCAGATCAATTTATCTGTTCTACATTGCCTGGAATTTCTCACCCTCAAGTTCAATATTCCCCGGGTAAAAATACTCACTTTTTTACCTTTTTATAATGATTTTGATGAGAGATAAAAAAAAAAGGTGATTCTGGCGTGATTATGGAATTCTAACATGATGATGATCGTGAATTTTGAGACACAAACAAAGCCATTAATCATGGTTGGCTTGCTTCCTTAAAGGAAAAGGCTTTCTTTTGGTGTGTTTTTGCGTGCAGGGTGAATCCATGCATTGGTATTTCTGCACAATTATTGCAGCAAAGCAACGTTAGTTACTCCCATGGTTGTGTTTTTTCCCTTTGTAACTAAAGCTTCTGTTTTGTTGGTTTATAAATAAAGGTGGGCTTATCTTCAAGGCGGGTGGAAGTAACATGCAGCACGTAACGTCCCTGTCTTTCCTACTCCTGGCTTATTCTAACTACCTAAGCCACGCCAATAAGGTCGTGCCATGTGGCGAAACCACTGCCACCCCAGCTTTACTCAAACACCTTGCCAAACGCCAGGTAAGAATGAAATTTTTCCACATTGACATCACCGTCGATTAACGGCCCAGTTTGTTTCTAGTTTTCCACATCTGACAAAACTAACGGCTAGATTTTCTCCTTTCTAGTTTTTTACTATTTTGACGCCAACACGTGATCTTTGCAGTTGTTTATTATTTAGGAACACGGGTAATGTTGTGATAATGTGAGTGCACATGGTTTTGATTTACTAGGTGGATTACATTCTCGGAGACAACCCCTTGGGAATGTCGTACATGGTTGGATATGGCCCACGCTACCCACGGAGGATACACCACCGGGCCAGCTCGCTTCCCTCCTTGGCCGTTCACCCAGCCCGCATTGGCTGTAAAGCTGGATCTCGGTATTTCTTTAGCCCAAATCCCAACCCCAATGTATTTGTTGGGGCCGTGGTGGGTGGGCCCACCAATAACACAGATTCCTTCCCGGATTCCAGGCCTTTCTTTCAGCAATCGGAGCCCACAACATACATCAATGCCCCGCTGGTGGGCCTTCTGGCTTTCTTTTCAGGCCACTATTGACTTTGCAAGTGTATCTATCTATCTATATGTATGGATTCCATGTGGTCACCCTAAGGGAAAAGAAAAGAATGGAGAAGAAGAGTGTCGTCAGTAATAGTATAGTATTTTGGTTTGCAGTGTTTTTTTTTAGTAATTGTATACTATAGGATTCTATGTAACGGGGTTTATGGTCCGCAGAGGTTAAATGCTTTCAATTTATATACTTCTGTAATTATGAATTAAATCCTTCAAAACGGACTCCGTTCGCAGACCATCACACGCTGTTCATGGCAAATTTACTAGATTACTCTATTTTACGCTTCTCATCGATTCCAACAACGAAATTAAAAAGTATTAAATTACATCATTTTTAAACTAAACTTTATTTTTTTAATATACCAATTTTGTTCATAACTAATTTTCCCATAAAACTTTGTTGAGTCAATTTTAGAAAGTGTAGATAACAGATTACTTGGAAAATTAGAAAATAAACTATACAAGCCACAAGTGGCATTTATTATGTGAACACCAGTTCTCTCCTTTTTGCTTTAGAAAGAGAAATGTGTGTTGGGGAAAGAGAGTATACGTAGTGATGTTGGGGTTTGGTTATCGTTGGAGGTGCAAGAATGGGTTGTGAGTGTTTTGCCTAGCAAAAAAGTTAAGGAGTTTAAAAGGGAGAAGAGTATGCATGAAAAGAAAAGTTGGGTGAAAGGGTGGTGAAGACGTGAGAGAGGTGATGGAAGACAGAGTAGTAGGGTTGAGTGTAATGCATGGGGTTACATGTGTTAGGTTACGGAAGGATAATGAGAGTTACTGGGAATGTGTAAATGAGTTATAAACGTGTGGAAAGAAAGGAGGGTTGTTTCTAGTATAAGGGTTGAGAGTTGGGTTGAGTGAATGATGTTTTTACCTTTTTTTCTCATCGTAAGATTAGAGTAAAGGAAGAAATAGTAAGTAAGGAAAAGGTAGCAGAGAGTATAATAGAGAATATAATAGAGAATATTTATTATGGTTGTGAATAATATTAATACGGTGATTTATATAACTAAATGTTATATTAAATAGAACAAACTACATTGGATAAGAGTTTGGAAAATGTAAACTTTCATACTTTCTTACTCCTACATAGAAGAAAATGAAGTTTGAAAGATAAGAGTTATTAATATTAAATGTTACCATGACTTAAAGGATGAAAATAAATATGACATTTTTCATGATGGTTTGAGATAAGGTTAATGATTTTGGGATCACTAGAATGTTATTCTTAATGATTGAAGTTTCTGTAAATAAAATTTATGACGTGTATTTCGATAATGGAGTATATGTGATATTAAAGTCTTAATAAATTATTTGATTGATATGGACTGGTGTTTTTAAAATTTTAACATAATGTTGGATGTACTTAGTTTTTAGATTTTCACTAACTGTTATATGAAACTTCTAATTGATGGAAATTTAAGAAAAAAAATTTGAAAATATTATTAAACCGATTTCGAAATCTTTTCATTGAAATATGTTTATCAAATCATTTTAAATTTTGTTTTTAAATTTAAAATTTAATAATAATCTAGTTTAATTTAAAATTTTGATATCATTTAATACATGTTCGTAATTTAATAATTGTTAAAATATTTTTGTTATTATAATAGTTATATTAAAAAAATAAAAGTAAAAATAATCAAAATAATAGTAGTAATAATAAAATTTAGAAAAACAGAAAAAATAAAAATACAAAGAATAATAATAATATAAAATCTAATTTAATACATTTAAATATGTTAAATTATATTATAAAATTAAATTAAATTAAATATTTATTAAATTTTAATTAAAAAACAAAACTTGAAAAAAAAATTTGTTAAAAAGATCTCGAAATTCAATAATATGTTAAGGGATTTCGAAATTTGTTTTAGATTTTTTTTAAAATTTATTTTAAATTTAAAATAAAATTTTGATATTATTTAATATATTCATTCTTTAATAATTATTAAAATATTATTTTTACAATTATAATAGTTATATTGAAAGAATAAAAATAAAAGTAAAATTAATTAAAATAAAAGTAATAATAACAAAAATATAAAACAACAAATTAAATTTGATTTAATATATGAAATTATATTAAAATTTTAAATTAAAGCAAATGTTTATTAAATTTTAAATTAAAAATAAATTTTTAAAATATTTGTTAATCGAGTTTCTGTCTATATTAACGAATTACAAAATTCGATAAGATATGTTAACAGATTTGAAAATTTTTATAATAAATTTTTTAAAATTTTATTTTTATTTAAAATTTAATATACATTCTTAATTTTATTTAATATTTTAAAATTATTTAGTATATATTAATATTTTAAAACTATTTAATATATATTAATATTTTAATAATTATTAAATTATTATTTATCTGTTATAATAATTATAAAAGAATAACAATAGTAATAATTAATATAAAAATGATAAAAATAAAATAATAATAATAACAATATATAATATTGTTTAATATATTAAATTAAATAATTTTAAATTTTAAATAAAAAAATTAAAAAATTTATTAAACGGTCGTTAATATTAAAATCCATTAAAAATGTTAAGAAATTTTGATAAGGAGAATTTTATTAAGAAAGAGAAAAAATAAAAAAAAATTGTTAACATTAATCATGGAATTTTTTGAAAAATTGAAGTTAGCATTATAAAATCTTGGAAATGCATATGAAACGTTCCAACTCATGGGCCACTTCTATTATCTCTGCAAGCATATGCTTCTTAAGTAACCCTCACATTTCTGAACCGATCTCAACAGCAGCACACGTACCAGTTGCCGGGTGATACAGGCGAGACGGCGGCGATCGAATGTAGAAGAAGAGAATCGAGGTGCCTCGGACGAGGTTAGTGTTCATTTTAAATATTTGAGAATTAGATGGATCTATTATGCCATATATGCCTTCTATCTATATCTTAGTTTACCAAACACAATTGTTGCGGAATCGATTTCATGGCATCTTTCACCAAATTAAAGTTAATGTTTGCTGTTTTATTTTTTTAAGTTAGGGTGAAATGAAATTAATGGAAATCGAAATAAGACCAACATGATTCCTAACCTCTGATTGAGACGCTCACAGAATAATTTAGACAAATTCTTGATGCATTTATTATTCTCTGTATAACAGCGGCTACATTAGGTTTGCTAGGGCTAGAAACCCTTTTCATATTTGCTCTGATGATTGATTTATTTTCACAACGAATATCTCAAATTACAGGTAACACTCCAAACAACAAAAAAACAATAGTAGCTTTTGAATCTTCTTTTGGTCTTTTGATTGATTTACGTGGAGAAAGAAAGTTTGATATGTGGGATAAAAATGTGGAGTATATAAATGATGATGGAGTGGGTGTGTTAGAATAATAGAGTGAGTAGTTGGTTAAACTTTGCAACTCAACCTGCTTTAGGAATTTTACCAAAATTGAAAATACTTTTAAGTTTGCCAAGTTAATAATAAGTAGATTAGTAGTGAGTTCTAAAACTAACCTTTTTCATTTTAAATTACTTACGATTGAAACTGTAAAATAATTTTATAGGGCTTAATTGATCCCTTTCACAATCTTCTATTTATAAGAATAAATTAATACACAAGTACATGATAAATAAGGACACAATATAATCATGATAAATAGAATAATCTTAGACACAATATAATCATGATAAATAGGATAACCTTTGACACACTATAATAATGATAAAATAGGATAAATATCCTAACAAAATTTAATGGACTTAATGAGAAATTAAGGGAAAGTGTTGAAGGAGGAGGACAGAGCGTAAAATGTAAGTCCTCTAACGAGCACCAAAGATTCGGGAGCATCTGTAGTTTAGGTAATGGGTTCCGCACCACGGGTCCGAGTACGTCGTGGCGAGTTTTGAAATATGATCAGATTGAAATAAGCATCGCTTGTAAAATTTCAGCAACACCAAATCCGCTCCAACCCCAACCTCCATGCGCCCGACCTTTTCCGCCGGCGTAGTTAGATCCTTCCGCGAGGGGGGGGGTGGGAACACTGGCATATAAGGTCCACTGAAACGTCATGGATGATCAGCTTTAACTGTGAGACTCGAATTGCAAAATATAAGTCGGTTGCCCCTTAGAGCAGGCGGTTGGGGAAAAGAAGGGCCCGGTTCTATCCAGCAAAGGTGGGGCGGGGGCCGTGAGCGCGGGGGGGCCATTACCCAGGGGATTAGAGAGGGTTGGTTGGGCACGGGCGTCTCCCCTAGGTGATCAGAAAAAACGCGGGGGGGCAAAGCGGAATCTCTGTGCATATCGCCATCAAGGGGTGTATCAGAGAGTGCAGCCTACATACCTTCCGGAACCGAGCGGAGGCAGCTCAAATTTGAGCGACATTCCGCGTCGCAAGGGACCCCTAGGGGATCTGCGTGAGAACCATCGCCGGGTCCTTCTTCGGCGGGCAAAGAAAGTCATAGCGCTGTCGAGACAAAAAGTTTGAACGATCCTTGATTTCGCATTCCCCCCGGCCGACTTCGTTAGTCGGCCGACGTAGGAGGGCACGTTGCGGTAAATAATGAGAGAGATCGAACGCGGTGCGCTCGCTCGTGCTGGGATTGAAATAACTAACTGACCCCACCTTCCCCGGGGGGGGAGCCTGCGCCATGCAAGACCGCGACCCCACCGCCTGGGTAGTGTGAGCCAAAGGGCCTGGGCTGGGGAGAAGGAAGGCCAGGACGCTCGGAAGAATCGATCTTCGGTGTGAGACTAATGCCTATCCTGGGGCCGGGGAGTGTGAAGTTACCCCACTAAAACATCGCCCGGGTCGTCGACCCACGAACCGAAATCACAAGCCTCGGGTTGTGGCGAAGTTCGGAGGAAGTGGCGGAGAGGTGGGAATTTGGGAGTCGGGATCGCTTGCAAACCAGAGCGGGCATATGAGCGGGAGTTGCAGATCGTGGCCGTAGGGAAAAACGCTAAAAAAAGACTTTCAAAAAGTGCCCGCGCAACGAAGGAGTACATCAGCACTCAGATTGTACCATGTCCCTGGCATTACTCTACTAATCCGTCTGGTGGTTTCCCAAAGCAGTTCCCGCCAACGGTACCAGCACCATCCAAAATGTGCCTGTTGGATCGGGACATCGGGAATACCTGGNTTGATGCATTTACCTCGGTGAACCTGGGGTTTTTGATGCATGCAAGTATTTTTGTTGGAACGTTGATATATTGTTAATGGAATACTTAGAGTATCTCCATTAACAAATAAAAAGATCCTATCAGTATCAGTATAAACAATGTTTCCCTCGTGTTCGGCTATAGCGGAAACCCCTGAATCTAAAGCTACTTGGCATTCCAATCCAGTTCCAACAATGCATTTTTCGGACTCAGAAAGCGGAACTGCTTGACGTTGCATATTAGAACTCATTAAAGCTCGATTCGCATCATTATGTTCGATAAAAGGAATCAGAGAAGCTCCAATAGAAAAATATTGGAAGGGATAAATACTTCGAAGATGAACCTGTTCCCATGCAATCGTAAGAAATTCTTGACGATATCGGGCTGGAACAATCTGTTCCTCCTGAATATCTCGAGTAAGTGCTAAAGAATTTCCTGTTGCTACCATATAGTATTCATCTATATTTGGTGATAAATAAAGCATGCGTATTCTTTTTGATCTTTCGGATATTTCAAAAAATGGACTTTCTATGGCCCCCCAAATACCAATCCTCGCATGAATTGCTAGAGATCCAATAAGTCCAACATTGATTCCTTCAGACGTGTCAATTGGACAAATGCGTCCATAGTGACTAGGGTGGATATCTCGTATCCGAAAACTCGCAGTTCGCCCCGTCAATCCTCCAGGGCCCAAATAACTCAATTTTCTCCCATGAACTATTTCGGTCAATGGATTAGTTTGATCCAAAACTTGAGATAATGGATGTAATCCAAAAAAAGATTCATAAGTCGTTGTTAATGGAGTTGAAGTCACCAAATTCTGAGGAGTCGGTATCAATTTATGTCTAATTGCTCCACATATAGTTCCTCTAACCATATTTTCTAAACGAACCAGGGCCAATCCAAATTGATCTTGTAATAGATCTGCTACAGAACGAATACGTTTATTTTTCAAATGATTTATATCGTCAAGTAGAGCCATTCCAAATTTCATGCCAATCAAATGATCCGCAGCTGTCAATATATCTCGCGGTAAGTCAAATATTTTTATAAGGCATAAGAAGAAGGTTCTAGGATGCCAATAATTTGTCAGGTAAATTGGGTCATTAACTATGTGTCCACTGTGTCAATGCCACAAAAGAAAAAAGAAAAGATTGTAGGGACATATAATATTTATCATTGGCTCGTTTTTAATATGATTTTTAAAATTCCTAAATTATAATTAAGGGTGTGTTCTTTTGGGTGTATTTGGGAGAGATGATTTGAATTGATTTGAGTGTAATTTTTTAGTTGTTTTTTTGAGTGGATTTGTGGTTAATTGAGAGTGGATTTGAAAGTAAAGTTTGTGAGAATTAGTATATGATTTGATTGATGTGACTGATTAATAGAATTTGTTTAATTAATAAAAATTGAAGATTACCAAAATACCCCTAGTTATTAAATTAATATAAAATAATAATTGTTAATGTTATATTTAATTGTAAAAATGTTTATCGAGAGAAAATATTAATATTAATTATTAAAATTAATTTTAATAGTGTACAAAAATTGAATTTTATTAAAATGAATTTATTTTTAATTGTTATATTTTTGTAATATTATTTACCCTAGCATCAAATAAACATAAGATTAAAAAAACAGAAAAAAATTATCAATATAATTCCGAAAAGAAATATTAAAGCAACAAACTTTAGGATTCATTTTGCCTATTCTTCTACTCTTAATTTACTAAATAAAAAACACAAGCAGACAAAAAGGCATAATAAGAACTACTAAATAAAAATCAAGAAAGAAAGTAATGATGGGAAAAAGAGCTTGGTGGAGTGGAGAGGGTGAAAGCAGCGTCCCTGTGAAGAATGAAAAAGAAAATTGAATGAGTGTGGTGTAACCGAATACATGGAGGTGTAACCAAATACATCCCTTCACTTCTCAAGGAATCCCTTTTGTACGTTTTATTTTTTGGTTGGTATTTTACAAAACAGGGAGGACATACTTTTACAAAACAGCGAGGGCATAAATGAGATTTTACTTCAAATCATTGCAAATCATCGCATTATGCAGAGATCATTAAAGCTCATATATCTCGCAAATTATCTTAATTCCATCGTTCCAAATCATGCCAAACGAACACAATTTTCATTGCAAATCATTCATCTTATTTTTACTTGAACCGTGACATCCACCCAAACAAACACAGCCTAAAAGTTGAGAGGTCTCCTTATTTTATCCAAATTTTAATGTTTTCTCTCTCTGTTTTTTTTGTTATGAAGACACTGGTTCGTTTCTTTAATTTAAACAATTAAGAGTTAAAAGATTCTTCTACTTAGTATATTTTTTTATGGAGGTTTTAATAATTGTATCTGATACCTTTAAAATTTTGGACCTTTTATTTTTTCAGAGATTACAATTTAATATAAAATGTATAAGTTTTAAATAAATATTTTATTACTACTTTTTAATATTTAATTTTGTAAATTTTATTATTTTAATTTTAAAACTATTCATATTTTATACTTTTATCCAATTAGTTGAGAATTTGTTAATGTGTGGTGATTTGATCTCTGATATGCTTTTATTGTGTAAATGGAATATGCATTTTAGTTTTATATCATGAATCCAACAAAGCTTGTATTATTAATTAAAATATTATTATATATTAAGTATATATAAAATTTAATATTAATTGTTATATATTATAAATAATTATTTAATATTATAATTAACATGTATTATTTATTATTAGTTTTAATAATCAATAAACAAAATATTATTGACTCACCCACGTATTATAATTATTATATATTACATGTTTTAAAATTATTCTTAATTGATTATATACAAAAAGGAGTTTTTAAAGCATTAACGGTATATATTTATTTGATGGGTGGGGTGAAATCTCTTTAATTACCCGGATATTTGATTTTTGCTGTTTGGATTTTGTTATACCATGCTATATGTATTTATTTTTTTTCCTTGCTTTCTCCATTCCTGATATAAGGTGACAGTGGAGAGTGATGGCCGGAAGTTTTTCTTCTTCAATTGAGAAGCCTGAATTTCCATCAAATCTTAATATCCTTGCCATTGATACTGACCTCAAAGTTCTTGAATTCATTGAGAAATCATGCAACGAGAATTCTCATCAAGGTTAGATATATACAATATTTTATTTGTTATCATTCTTTAAGAGAAATATTTGTGTTTTTTTCTTATGCTTTTGATTTGTGTGCAGTTAAGATATGCTCTGAATCTTCAAGTGCGGTCGATCTTTTGCTGAAGAAAGAAATAGACTTTCATTTGATTTTCATGGAACTCCATATGCCAATGATGGATGGCTATGAATTTCTGCGTTTTCTTGATAAAGAAGTAATTGATGTTGCTTTCGTCAGTAAGTAACTAATCTTTTACCTTTTTACTTAAGTTTTCAACTTTTGACTGTTTAACCATCTGCAGTGATGTCTGAGGATGATACTGACCTATCCCATAAGAAGGCTTTTAAACTTGGAGCTTGCGATTATTGGGTTAAACCCTTCTTAGAGTATGCGTTTTTGTTCGAGAGGAGGCATTTGTGTTCACCTATGATGCAACATCATTTCCACTTCAGGCGCATAAGGAAAAATATTGATAGCTTGGAAGATGATGAAATAAGTGAGACAAGTTATAGTTCTGAATTCTCTTCTGAGGAAGAAGCCGAAGCCGATGATGATACTCTCCATAAGAAAGAATAACCTAGTATGATTAACTGACTACTGCAAAATACATACTTAAGAAGTCAAAAAGCTGCCGCAGTTGAATAAAGAGACTGTGAAGAATATAAAATTACCATTACTATTAAAATAGTTCATTTCTTTCATTAATACATTGTTATTCTTATTTCCTTCATTAATACATTGTTATTCTTATTGTGAATAGCTTCTTTAATTTATAGAACGAAGAGTTAAAATATTTTTCTACGGTACATGTTTTAATGGAAATTTAAATCAATAATTCAAATTACTATATTGAAAAAAAGAATATATATATATATATATATATATATATATATATAGAGAGAGAGAGAGAGAGAGAGAGAGAGGTAGAGGTGAAGGTGAGAGGCGGGGTGAGGTAGTAGGAGGAATGTTTAATATTTTATTGATTACTCTCTAATTGTTTTCATTTTACCCATAAATATAACCTGTCTTTTTAAAATGAATATTTCGATCAAGATAGTGAGGCTAAGAGACCATGTGTACAACATAAATGTGAGCTTGACCACTCAACATAGTAATATTGACTACATGACATGCACCTTTGTCATCTGATAAGAGTTCCAAACAATCTTCTAAAACAGGACCACGACCCAATGAATACCACAGCTCCTTTACATTCCTATAACCCATCTCCTTAAGAATGGTTAATATTTCAAAATAACTCCAACGTTCTGGATCAATTTTTAAAGTTGTGGTTTGACCATAGTGGTATTTGAATGTTCCATTATTCTCAAATTTTCCCGCATGGTGAAAGACGATTTCAACGTCTGAGTTGGCCATCTAAACTAATATAAAAAATGTTTACAGTTAATCTATGCTTAACTCAAATGTTATCTACCCAAAAAACAAGTAAAACAAAGCAAAAGAACAATTACAAACACAAGAGTAGGGGGGACCACAACCACAATGCTGCAACACTGTTCATAGCACATGCACAGATAATGGGGGACAGTAAATAGACAAAGCATACACAGATAACACCCTTTCATGGGGGGACCACAACGACAACAACAAAAGCTAAACTCAAAAGCTACCATAAACGCACCTTGGAATCGNATTTTCATTGCAAATCATTCATCTTATTTTTACTTGAACCGTGACATCCACCCAAACAAACACAGCCTAAAAGTTGAGAGGTCTCCTTATTTTATCCAAATTTTAATGTTTTCTCTCTCTGTTTTTTTTGTTATGAAGACACTGGTTCGTTTCTTTAATTTAAACAATTAAGAGTTAAAAGATTCTTCTACTTAGTATATTTTTTTATGGAGGTTTTAATAATTGTATCTGATACCTTTAAAATTTTGGACCTTTTATTTTTTCAGAGATTACAATTTAATATAAAATGTATAAGTTTTAAATAAATATTTTATTACTACTTTTTAATATTTAATTTTGTAAATTTTATTATTTTAATTTTAAAACTATTCATATTTTATATTTTTATCCAATTAGTTGAGAATTTGTTAATGTGTGGTGATTTGATCTCTGATATGCTTTTATTGTGTAAATGGAATATGCATTTTAGTTTTATATCATGAATCCAACAAAGCTTGTATTATTAATTAAAATATTATTATATATTAAGTATATATAAAATTTAATATTAATTGTTATATATTATAAATAATTATTTAATATTATAATTAACATGTATTATTTATTATTAGTTTTAATAATCAATAAACAAAATATTATTGACTCACCCACGTATTATAATTATTATATATTACATGTTTTAAAATTATTCTTAATTGATTATATACAAAAAGGAGTTTTTAAAGCATTAACGGTATATATTTATTTGATGGGTGGGGTGAAATCTCTTTAATTACCCGGATATTTGATTTTTGCTGTTTGGATTTTGTTATACCATGCTATATGTATTTATTTTTTTTCCTTGCTTTCTCCATTCCTGATATAAGGTGACAGTGGAGAGTGATGGCCGGAAGTTTTTCTTCTTCAATTGAGAAGCCTGAATTTCCATCAAATCTTAATATCCTTGCCATTGATACTGACCTCAAAGTTCTTGAATTCATTGAGAAATCATGCAACGAGAATTCTCATCAAGGTTAGATATATACAATATTTTATTTGTTATCATTCTTTAAGAGAAATATTTGTGTTTTTTTCTTATGCTTTTGATTTGTGTGCAGTTAAGATATGCTCTGAATCTTCAAGTGCGGTCGATCTTTTGCTGAAGAAAGAAATAGACTTTCATTTGATTTTCATGGAACTCCATATGCCAATGATGGATGGCTATGAATTTCTGCGTTTTCTTGATAAAGAAGTAATTGATGTTGCTTTCGTCAGTAAGTAACTAATCTTTTACCTTTTTACTTAAGTTTTCAACTTTTGACTGTTTAACCATCTGCAGTGATGTCTGAGGATGATACTGACCTATCCCATAAGAAGGCTTTTAAACTTGGAGCTTGCGATTATTGGGTTAAACCCTTCTTAGAGTATGCGTTTTTGTTCGAGAGGAGGCATTTGTGTTCACCTATGATGCAACATCATTTCCACTTCAGGCGCATAAGGAAAAATATTGATAGCTTGGAAGATGATGAAATAAGTGAGACAAGTTATAGTTCTGAATTCTCTTCTGAGGAAGAAGCCGAAGCCGATGATGATACTCTCCATAAGAAAGAATAACCTAGTATGATTAACTGACTACTGCAAAATACATACTTAAGAAGTCAAAAAGCTGCCGCAGTTGAATAAAGAGACTGTGAAGAATATAAAATTACCATTACTATTAAAATAGTTCATTTCTTTCATTAATACATTGTTATTCTTATTTCCTTCATTAATACATTGTTATTCTTAGTGTGAACAGCTTCTTTAATTTATAGAACGAAGAGTTAAAATATTTTTCTACGGTACATGTTTTAATGGAAATTTAAATCAATAATTCAAATTACTATATTGAAAAAAAGAATATATATATATATATATATATATATATATATATATATATAGAGAGAGAGAGAGAGAGAGAGAGAGGTAGAGGTGAAGGTGAGAGGCGGGGTGAGGTAGTAGGAGGAATGTTTAATATTTTATTGATTACTCTCTAATTGTTTTCATTTTACCCATAAATATAACCTGTCTTTTTAAAATGAATATTTCGATCAAGATAGTGAGGCTAAGAGACCATGTGTACAACATAAATGTGAGCTTGACCACTCAACATAGTAATATTGACTACATGACATGCACCTTTGTCATCTGATAAGAGTTCCAAACAATCTTCTAAAACAGGACCACGACCCAATGAATACCACAGCTCCTTTACATTCCTATAACCCATCTCCTTAAGAATGGTTAATATTTCAAAATAACTCCAACGATCTGGATCAATTTTTAAAGTTGTGGTTTGACCATAGTGGTATTTGAATGTTCCATTATTCTCAAATTTTCCCGCATGGTGAAAGACGATTTCAACGTCTGAGTTGGCCATCTAAACTAATATAAAAAATGTTTACAGTTAATCTATGCTTAACTCAAATGTTATCTACCCAAAAAACAAGTAAAACAAAGCAAAAGAACAATTACAAACACAAGAGTAGGGGGGACCACAACCACAATGCTGCAACACTGTTCATAGCACATGCACAGATAATGGGGGACAGTAAATAGACAAAGCATACACAGATAACACCCTTTCATGGGGGGACCACAACGACAACAACAAAAGCTAAACTCAAAAGCTACCATAAACGCACCTTGGAATCGCGCTTTTTGTAATATCCACCAGCACGATTTCTGAAAATGCGAGTCCAAATCCAACGTACAACGATCTCTACACGATCTCTGTCTTCGCAATGTAGCCCAAGTGCGACAACGACTCTATCTTCTTTCACAGAAATCCAATTGTCCTCAACTCGCATAAATGACCCCTAAATCACATTTCCTCCAAATTATAAAACCCTAACTTAATTAAAAGTCATATTCTCTGCTACTCCCTTATTCGTCATTATTCACAAAATCAATATATTGACACGTTTCACATAACTGGTGCCACATCATTAATGCATTAACTCCGTTTGGTGATACTTAACGGAAGGGACACATTAGACACAAATTTATCTAAGTGTGGACATATTTCTTACACTTTTAAAAATGGGGACAAAATTGATATTAGACAATGAAAATGGGGATCAAAGAGACTGTTAAACCTAAAAAAAAGTTAAAAGAAAGTTATTTATGTAATTAAAAAAAGTTGGAGAAAATTGGGGAGGTGAAAGGTGAAAATGTGGTGGTGAAGGGAGCAACCCCTGACTATCAATTAGGAATATACATTTTGGTGTTCATCTGGACCTCCAACGTCCTGTATTTCCAACTTGGGTGTTACTCCCTCCACCACCACATTTTCTCCCTCCACCTCCCCAATTCTATTACATATTTTTTGAATTACAAAACTAACCTTTTATAATTACAAAAATAACCTTTTTTCTTTTTAATCCTAATTATTTACTTTTATAATTAAACTAATAAATAACTTTTTATATAATTATAAAATTATTAAAGAATACAAAAAGTCATATATAAAAATATATATTATACAAAAATCCTAACTATATATAACGTGCAAAATAAAAAAAAAATCTAAATATATACTAATAAGAATAAAGATCCTCAAAAATATATTATTAAAATACATCAAAATATATTAAAAATAATATATCAAAAAATATAAATTATATTATTTAAATATCTTCAAAATTAATATAAAAAAACTGTAAAATATAAACCGTAATATTTAAACGGATGTGAGCATCCGTTTAAGGGAAAACGGATGTCAACATCCGTTTAAGGGAAAACGGATGTC